CAAGATCATAATATGCTAGGTTTTATTTAATTAAATTCAGTGGATTCACTTAAGCACAGAGGATTATGCCTCAGAGCTAGGAAATCAAATATATATGAGATCCAGTCTCTGTGCTCACATAGTTCAAGTTAGGTCACCTAAATAAACAGAAGCAGACATTCAATAAATAAGTACAATAGAGATGGTTTAGGAACATTGTATTTTATTTGTCTATTTACTTAGATTCCCTAGACACCAGACCTCTTGGGGGTCAGGGATCCTGTCTTTTTAGCATTCCCAGCACTGATTGCAGTGTCTGGGACAGTGTAGATTCTCAATAAATATTTCTAGAATAAATAAATTAGTGAATTCATGAAAAAAAGTGTAATGGAAACTCAATTGAAAGAAGGATTGTTTTCATATCTGTATTAAGGAATGCTACATTTTGACAAGTGATAGGGTAAGTTTTTAAAGAATCTGTGAACATAACTTATCTGCTGGCTGAGTTATGCCTTGTAAGCATGCATACAGGATGTACAGGCCTCATGCAGAGGGACCTTCTTTGTCCTAGAGAAAAGTACTTATGCATTGTTTCCTCACAGCAAATAGATACTTCTGTTTAACTAATAGATCTCCAAAAAGTAGACTTAGTTTAGTTCTTTAAGACCTGCTTCAAATCTCCTCACAACCACTACTTTTTAATCTGCACCTCCTCCAAACACTACCACAGTCCTAATTTTCTCAAACTGTCAATCTGTACCATGTAAATTGCCCATTCTAGGCACTGTTTTATCATTTTTTTCTCATTTAATGTACACTTATTCATTTATTTGTGTAATAGTCTACTAAGTGTAGAACCATCTACAGGGTTTGCTCTGTGATTTGGACCTACAGCCCTCCATCTGAAATGTACAAGGCCTCCATCATTTCTAAGCTCAATACTTACCCCCAGAACTAATATGTTGTTCATCAGACAGTCAACAGAATGCTTGCCATCTGACAAACTAAACCGAAAATAACTGCTCTCCTAGAAGTTAGTTACAAGGACAACTACTGTCTTGGTTTGAGTCAAGCATAGGCCCCAGATGATCCATCCACTCTAATGTGTTAAGGTGCCAAAGGAACAAAACTCCGGAAGCAACAGGATGATTGAGAGTCACTTGAAATACTCTGATATCTTATTTGAGGTCACCAGTTGGAAAAAGGGATTCTTGAAATACCTAGATCTAGAAAGCTTGGGAGTCCCACCTATGGTATCCAGAAACCAAATCCAAAAACTTAATTTTGTGCTACACAAATTAAGCTGCTGTTTTGGACACACTTTGAAGGAAAACATCTTTGGTGGCCAGTCTAAACATTTGTCTCTCAACTCAGAGTTCCTATTTGCTCCTAGACCAAAATATGCATCCCAAATTGCATACAAAGCTGTTAATACACCCAAAATAGCCATGGAGGAATAGTCTTCAGAAGCATGTCCAAAGGCACATGTACAAGCAAAGCCCTTTGGCCACTTTGCAAAACATGTAAAGTATCATCCTTAACTCAAAACATATGGAAGGAGCCTTTCACTTCCTGGGGAAGCACCAGGCTTCTACTGGTATCACTGGGAAAGCTCTGCCACAGGAGAGGCTCAAGGGGAAGACGCCGTGGTCTGTGGGAAGCACACGGGTGGTCCATCTCCTCTCTCATTGCCCCATGTCTCAGCAATGGGATTGCCACCTCAGTTGGCATGAGTTGGTACCTGACATTGCCTAATGAAACTTGGAAACTACTCTATTCTCATCATTCAGATGTAAACTTTCTCATGTGGGAGATTGGGGCCAGGTAAGGTCCATTAATTAATTATTAATAAAAATGTAATTCCTTAAATAAATAAAACTTTCAGCCTCAAGATTGTAAGCCCCAGATTTTCCATAAAGATGAGAGAATGAAGTAAGTGTTCTGTTAATTGTTCTGTTAACTCCACTTGCACAAAGTTGTGTATATTCCATATTGACCACCAACTTCAAAAATTTAGAAGACAATATGGTCACCTTGTATTAAAATCACAGAGAGCAAAACCATTCTTAATTCAGAAGTGCCTCAGAATGTAATGTGCCTCAGGGTCACCATTAAATATGTCGTTTTTAAGAGCTGTAGAAGAATAAACTTACTCCCCACAACCTACCCTGGGATATACACTTTTAAACAAATTCTTCATGTTAAGTGAAATACTTGTGATTTATTTCTTTCTCATAAAATGGAGCTCAGTATATGGAAAACAAATCCTATTGGTTTGAATGTGGGAATCTGGATGCAGGAAGTTAGATTCCCAAGTCCAGATATAATCAGCCTTTTTTCTGTACATGTTTTTACATGGTTGAAAAGACTGCATGGAAAAATTATATTCTTTTTTCATTTAACAGTCTCTCTACTATGAGCATTTTTACATGTCATTGAAGTCCTTTATTAACAAATTATAATTGCTATATAATATTACAGCAAGTAGATAAGTTAGAATGCATGTCCCATTTTTTGACATTTAATTAAATTGTTTCTCATTTAGGTATTATAGTGTTGTGATAATTACAATGTGCTAATCTTTGTCTGTTCATTTCCTTAAATAATTTTCTAGAAGTGAAATAATGACCAAAGTGTTTGGTTCTCAGATGTTAAGTAAAGGTATTGTGCTGATCATTTCACAATATATACATATATCAAATCATTTCATTTTCACCTTAAACTTCTGTAGTATGTCAATTATATCTCAATAAAACTGGAAAAAAAGACCAAAATGTTTGGTTACTGATATATATATTCTCCCCACAAGTTTACCAATTTATTCTTTCTCTCTATAAAATATATGATATAAATAAATATATGTGACATGCTTATATATAAGCAATTTATATATAAATGAGTGCATATTAAATACACATATGTAAAATTTTCCTAAATATGTACTAATTTATTCTCCATTAGCAGTATTTGAAGTGTTCCTCTTACCACCATCATCAGCATTGAAAATTCATTTAATTGATCTATTTTATTTCAAGTTTCAGTCATTCCCCTCTCTCTCCTGCTGGTTTGTCTTGTCAAATCCCTCAATCTCTCATTGATTACCTGGTTGCATTGTTCTAAATTCAACCTTTGAAAAAAAAAATGTTATAAACCTACAACATACTATTATGAAGTTATATTGTCTTTCTGCAATAAGACAGGGTTATTCTTGTAATTCTATATGGTTGGGGAAGGATGTTGTCACATAGATGGTACCCAAAAGCTCTCAGCTTCTCTCCGATATGTTTAAAACATGGCAAGTCAAGATGGTACACTTAAGTACTTTCTGCAGGAGGGATATATTTGGGTTTTCATGACACTTAGAAAGTCTATCTGAAAATCCACATTGCTTTTCAAATTACTATATTCAAATATTGTAAGACCAAAAAAGGAGACATAAAAAGCCCAACAAAAAACGTTAAGTAAATTTGTTTTCTCTTTTTATTTGAATGGATATCTCAACAAAGGAAAACTCTCTGTCAAACTGAAGAGGACAGAGCTGTATATCTGCTTTGCTCCCTTCTCAATGTCCAGGCCCCCTGAATGGTGGAGGGCTGTTTCAAAAGGCAATGAAGAAAAGGTTCTGGAGATGAATGGTAGTGGTGGTTATACAATAATGTGAATGTATTTAATGCCACAGAACTGCACACTTAAAAATAATTAAAATGATACCCCCCCAAAAAGCAAGGGAGGCTCTTTCTTCTTTGCTTCTCTTGAGCCTCCCACAGTCTGTTAACCAACCCATGTGAATATGCCACAGCTTGCTAGCTGCTGCTGGGTGTGAGAGGGTGAGGGACCAGGTGGGCTTCAAATTATCTGAAGACACTGGTTCAGAAACTCTGCCCCGGAAATTAGCAGCAATGTGAGTACAGATGTTCCTCAACTTACAATGAGGTTACATCCCAATAGACCCACCATAAGTTGAAAATATCATAAATCAAAAATGCATTTGATACGCCTAACCTGCTGAACATCACCACTCTGCCTCGCCTGCCTTCAGTGTGCTAGAACACTGGCATTAGCCTACCATTGGGCAAGATCATCTAACGCAAAGCCTACTTTATAATGAAGTGTTGAACATCTTATGTAATGTATCAAGTACTGGACTGAAAGTGAAAAACAATAGTTGTATGGGTCGAGCACGGTTGTAAGCGTGTCGGTTATTTACACTTGAGATGGTGGGGCTGACTGGGAGCTGCGGTTAGCTGCCACTGCCCAACATCACCAGCGAGGATTGTACTGCATACGGCTAGCCGGGGGAAAGGACAACATTCAAGGATGGTTTCTACCGAAAGCATATCGCTTTCACACCACCATCAAGTAGAAGATTGTAAGTCGGTGACCATGTACAGATGTGAATGAATATATTTGAAAGAAGAATACCCAAAGAGTAGCAGTTACTTCTTTACTACTGCTTGGTAGACTGGGAGACAAGTTTCATGTCCTGACTATAGGCAAAGTCACTATAAATTCCAAAATGGGCAAATTTCTGGAAATGTAGTGTAAAAATTGAAACTAAAAAAATGAATCATTTACAGAGATGAAAACAGTAATTGTATTTCAATTATATAAATAAAGCAAATGATGCAAAAGAGTCTAAAATGCAGAGTTCAACTTTTTAGAAAGATCTATTTAACAAAAAACCTTGTTTTGTTTTTACGAATAATGTCCATTCCCACCTTCTCCATAAGAAGCCCACAAAACTCAACTTACTTTTTGGTAGAAAAGTAAATAAAATGACTTTTCAAAATTATTACAATGTTATAATAGTTCTAAGATTATGTTAAAGAATTAAAGAACCATTTTAATAAAGAAAAATTAAAACAGTAAAAAATTTACTTAAGATCTAAGAGAGGCTAAAATGGCTGGAGCACTTATTCAGCCAAGTGCTTACCAGTATTTACCCTTCATTCTTTATATAGTCCCACCATTGCCCCATTTTACAGATAGGGAAACAAGAGCGAGAGAGTTTGACAACTTACCCAAGGCCTGAAATTAGCTGTGATGCTCTTAACCTGTGGACAGTGCTGCCTCGCCACACTGTGTCCAGAATCACACCCTGTGCCTAAGATGTCTGAAACCTGAAAGGAGAAAATCGTGGGTGAATTTGAGCCTTAAAAGTGTGTGCTGGCTTTTGCAAGCCTTATAAGCACCTCTTAGAAAAATGACCATAATTCATTTCTAAAGAAAGTTAAAAAGCGAGCTGGTTTATCTTCTCCTGCCCTCAGTTTTGGGCAGCTAATTAAACAATTGCCATGCCTTCAGATTTAGCTCATGATTCAAATAGTTTCCTGGAGGCATTAGTTGGGCTCTCACTGAGGAGTGGTGAAGGAAAGAGTGCTTGACTAAAGGCTTGGTCCAGGAAGGCATCCTTCTCTGCATGCTTGCATCAGGGACACGGTTACTTTCCAGCCTAGCACACTGCTGTTGGGATGATAATGTGGAGGGTGTGCTGTACAAAGTGAAGTTCATCCTTTTCAGATCCTGCCCATTCGAGAGGCCAGAGCCCTTAGCAGACCCTATTTCCTGTGTTTTGAAAGTCTGTTCTTTGCCCCTGCCCACCCCTGCCTGCCACCACCAGCCCCAGGCTTCCTGCCCCTGGTATAAGCCTAGAGAGGAATTAGTGAAGTCGTCAAACTTCTACTTGCTGCATACAACAAAGGCAAGCACGGGATTTCTTTAGGGAGTGAAGAGGGCCAAAGAATAGCTTCACACTGGAGCCATCTGCAAATGTTTGGAGACTCAGACCAAATCTGCTTGGGAAGGAGGGCTGGGGCGTTGATAATGTATCAGTGCTCTGTGCTACTCAGCTAAACAAGCAAGCACCCTTGGGAAAGCAGCCAGCATCCTTTCACCTTTCCTCGGACAGAGAGCCACTGACAGCACATCCTCCCCAACGCTAATGACTCAAGGCTGACCATTAATGGCCAAGTTATTTACTTATTTCCTGAGTTTCCATCTTTAGGACCTCTTCCACATCCATAAAACAAAAAATCTTTATGCTATATTTATTTCCAATAAAGTGTTCCAATGTCAATATGGAAATCATGACTCCAGTAGTGGACAGAGTGTGGCCAGCTATCACGGATTCAGGTTCTTTCTACATAAGCAAACATGAGCAACAGAAAGAACACTGAGACTTCCGGGCCTCGCCGTTAGCAGAAGCTGATCGCAGAACTCCCAGAGCTGCAGGTTCACATCTGGAAAAAGGAGACAATGCTCCTAGCTCTGCTTTTTCCACCTGGGTGCTGCACAATCAAATAAAATAATGTAAATAACAGTGTAATGGAAAGTGCTGTGTAAAGGATCCATCTAGGGCTATATGAGTAATAAGCTATTAGCATCTTACCAAGGTGATTAAGGAGGTGCTCTGCTTATAGGAAAACTAGACAATGACTTCTTAAGGCTGTTTCCTTAAGATCTCATAGTTCTGTAGTTAAGCAAATGAAAATAAACTTTGACATTTAATGCAGTAAGATTGTCATATTCAATGAGCCCACAGTAGCTCAGGCCAGCCCACAGTGTTCACATACCCCTCCAAACACATTGCCCATGCTATTTACACGATTCACAAGGAAATTAATCACATGTTACTTAATGGTGTAATCAGTTGTTATTTGTCTCTGTTTTTAATGTTATTTTGTGCATACAAATATATGTCTCATTAAATTCTCCTAAAGTCTACTTGGAAAGATGAGATGTCAGAACAATTTAATGAGCTTGTTGTGCATGTTAAATGAGATTATATATATCAAGGATGTAGTATGGAATCTAGCACATAGTAAGAGCTCAATAAATAGTACTTAGTATTTTCTTTCAGAGGACCTAACCTAGATTTAGGTCCAGAGTATACAAGTTAATGATTAACCACGGCAAGAAGAAAATACAACGCTGTGGAATATTGTTTGAAAACTCCTTTGAGCAATAATCACAGAGGACTTAAAAACAAAACTGCAAGCCCTCTATGAAATGACATTCCCAATTGCACAAAAATATTTAAGAGTCAAGAGGGGGTGGTGATGATAAACATAGGCTTTGGAATCAGACAGACCCTGGATTGAATGTGACAACTCTCACTAGATAGAAGACCTTGTATTATATCATAATTCTATCAACTCCAAATGAGAATGATAATATATGCCTCAGCATTGTAAGTAAGAATGAAAGGAATCAATGTCTGAGAAAAACTAACACAGGACCAAATAGTAGTGGTTACTCTTATTATTGAGAGCCCAGCAATTTTGTATGGGTAGTCTGTTAGGACAGACATTAACATATCTACAAAGAAAGAGAAATGAGAACTTGGTCTGACAATCTGTTACTCCACCAACCCAATCTTCACACTTTGAGAATTTAAAAAAACACATAGCATATATATGAACATGCGTAATGCATATATTTTTCTGGAAAAAAAAGTTTGAAATTCTAGAAAATGTATGTTTGGTTTTTGAAAAGTTTGTCTTTCTGGTTTAGACAGAGATTGGATTAGTGGCCATCAGGGAAATGCAAGTCTAACCACAATGAGATACCATGTACCCATTAGGATGACTATAATAAAAAAGACAGACAATAACAAATGGTGAGGATGTAGAGGACATTTTGGAGCCCTCACTTACCACTGGTGGGAATGTAAAATGAAGCAGCTGCTTTGTAAAACTGACTGGCCAGTTCTCAAAATTTTAAGAGTTACCATTAGATTTAGCATTAAAGTTACCATATAACCCAGCAATTCCACTCTTAGGAATATACTCAAAAGAAATAAAACATATGTCTATACAAAAACTTGTACACGGATGTTCATAGCAGCAACATCAGTAATAGCCAAAACAGTGGAAATTATCCAATTTCCATCAATTGATCAATGGTTAAACAAAATGTCATGTAGGGATGAATCTTGGAAATATTATGCCAAGTGACAGAAGCCAGTCACAAAAGGCCACCATATCATGTGAGTCCATTTATAAGAAATGCTCAGAGTAAGCAAATTCACAGAGACAGAAAATATGTTAGTGTTGGCTCAGGCTGGGGAGTCCAGGAGTAAATAGGGAATGATTGCTGGTAGGTACAGGATTCCTTCTGAGGTGGCAAAAATGTTTGAAAATGATTGTGCAATAACTGTCCAAATCTGTGAACATACTTAAAAAACTACTGAATTGTATACCTAAGTGGATGATTATTATTTAGATAATAAATTTATAAAATAAATAAATGTTGCATAATAAAGAATGCTACTTAATTCTAATACCAAAAGAAGATGACTTGTGGTAATTTAAAACTTTCAAAAAAGTATATCTATGAATCTTTGCTCAAAAGAAAGAGTTTTTAAGATTGAAATATCTTCAACATCCACATTTATTTCATTCACAGGGCCCATGTTTAATTTCTTCCTCTGTTAAATTTGTATTTGATTTTATTTTAGAGGATGTGATATGCCTCTTACATTTAGGATTTGGTTCTTGCTTTACCTTTTTGAAAAAGACTTTTTTCAATGTGACTAGGAAATATTTAGTAGCAGTTGAAACTACACCTAAAAACAATCAAGGTTGAAAGTAGATTTGAAATCAAAATAATTTTATGTCACTCATTCTTCATTAAAGTTGTTTAAAAAAAATAAAAGCAATTTTCAAAACAGTCTATTAAAACAAAGATAACTTCAAATTTTAAAATTCTGCCAAAATCCAATACTTGTTTGAATTACCCCATATTATATGTGTTTCAAACTGTTTCAGATTTCTTCAATCTGTCCAGTGTTTACCTTGCTGCATTCTAGAAAACAAATTAGAGGAAATAAACCATTTAAGCAAAGAATCACACAGTTAATACTAAGAAGTACATGTGTTTCATCCTACAACTTCAAAAAAATATTCAGTTGTTTAAAATGTACTGAGAATTCTGTGAATTGAACACATTCTTATGCACTGTGCTTTATTCTCTCACCTTATTTAGAAAGCTGGGCTGGAAAAAATTCACATTTATATGTGAGGAATTTTCCTAACACTTGCTTTTGATTAAGGACCCAGATCACAAAGCATCAGCTAACATGGATTTACATGGAGCTTTAGAAAATAGGTTGACTTTCAAAGAGGTGATACTTTTCCAAATGAATCATAAAGTCTTTAAAGGTCAACAAAAAGATAGAAATTTCAGATTTTTCTCCCACCACAATAATTTGGCATATTTTAAGTATTTTTGTAGTCATAGTACTATAGAAATCTGGAAGTCATTTTGATTTTAAAAGTTAACATTTTCATAGACTCATAAGCACAGAGAACAGACTGGAGGTTCCCAGCGGGAAGGAGTGTTGGGGGGTGGGTGATACAGGTAAAGGGGGAAAAATATTTTTTCTTCTTCAAACATTTCATGAGAAAATTTTTTAGATATGTCATTGTGGGATTTGATATCTTAATCTAGGCAATAGTTACATGAGTGTGTATATATGTCAAAATTCATATATACACACTCATATACTCATACAAAATTCATATATACACACCAAGCTATAGACTAAGATTTGTGCATGGTATTGTATGTACCTTGATATAAGAGATTCTCAAAAAATAAAAATGAAAGTTAACACTTTAGTTTCTAAGTGTCAATTAAAAACTATGGTTAATATTTCATTTTATTTAGAGTTGTTACACTGAACACTAATAAGGTAGTGATAATGGAAAGTACAAAAATACCAACTAGGTACAGCTTAATTCCATATTGCTGTATGCATTATATACAAGGAAAATTTATTGAATATATACAACATATTTAAAAATTGCCATAATGCTATCCACATATTTTTCAAAGACAAAAAACCAACTGTTCAAAAATCTAACTGAAACCTCGTTTCACACATGCTCTTCAAAGAAATCAAATTGGAGTTCTCAAATTATTTAGATAAACTGATTTATAATTACCAAATGGAAATAGAGCTGAGATGCATTTCTTTTAAAAGCATAAAAAAGCCCACAGTTGTATTTATTATTTAAGCATTTTTTCCTAGCAATAAAGTTAGGGCCAAGCAATGTCAGTGGAATGAATTATTTTAACAGATGTAAAGGCCTTGACGACAGTTATTTTCCAGGTCTAG